TTATGATCACATACATGTATCTCGGTAACCGTTCTACCAATTTGTACCAAACTCGGTATGGTTATTGTGCTTTCCACATAAAAGCAAAACGTTGAAAATTATTGAATTCGGACTAAAATTACGGCCGCTTTTCATATAACGGTAAATTTCAGAAATGCTTGAAACTGCAATATTTCGAAATTTAAGGACGCTAATTTACTCAAAATTGATACACTCCGGCTTACAATCTAGCGGTAGCTTTCGGAAAGGTGAAAAAACATATATTTAATACTTGCGCCGGGTATTTAATGTTCGGCTCCACCCGAACTTAGACTTTCTTAACTGTTATAGTTGAATTACTAACAGGCTCATTTTCAAGTCCGCTTCTTCTTGGCGAAGTTAGCCTTAGTGTTCCCTCCCGGGTATCAAGACACTTTTGCCCCCTATTTCTGAAAGCTTGTAAAACTAATTTTGAATTGCACGACCCACTCCATTGCTTATGCCAGGATTTTAACTCTCATTCCAGCACGTTTGATATATCCGATCCGCTTTTCAGCATTAAGAAATTGATACTGTCCTCTCTCAATAGATGAATCATTAAAATAAAGACATGAAATCGGCTGATGAATTTAGTTCTGTAACTGAACAGTTTTAGATCGCGACACTTAACAAACTCCTGCCTATCGTGACTCGGCGCAAAAATTGAAAATACTGGTTCCGTACGTCATGCGGACTGCGCCCCTCGTGCGGATGGGCGGGAATGGAGGGTAAAAACCGTTGGGATATTATTATTAACAAATTTACAACAAACACATAATTTTTGACAATCAGTACAGCAGCTTATGACATTTGTACATACATACAAATATATATACAACCATTGAAACATATGTACATACATGAAAACATTGCTGTCTATAAGTACATACATATGCCCATCAGTACATCAACGAAGCCCGTTTGCTTCATCATAAATATATCCATACAAACATATGTACATATGTACGAAAGGATGTACTTACGCGAAGCACGCTTGCATCATTTATACATATACTAGCTTATAACCGCGGGTTTCATCCCGCGCTTTCATACAAATATGAAAAATAACTTAATGATGTTAGATTTTATTTCTGTGCCCATTTCGTTATAGCTCGTTATTTTTTAAGCGAGTTAAGGTATTTAGGCCGTTCAAAACTATAAAATTATAAAATCTCTGCGCGCTAGGCATACGAAAGATATCAATCCCTCTAAGTT